CCATCAACTGTGAGTTTTAATTTGAGCCACTTTCACATTAAAAAAAAAAAAAGAACCTTACTTTTTCCACCAACCCATCTTCAGCCCGTGTTGCACCACCCAAAGCTTTCAGGCAATGCTCTACTCCGGAGCAAGCCAAGCATATCAAGTGTGCCTGCAACACTCACAGGCTAATGAACAATGCACAAAAACAAAAGGAACAGCCAGGCTCCTATTATCTGATCTTCCGTAAAACACAAAAACTGCCTTCTCTGGTGCAGAGGAAGTGCCAGGAAGCCTGCAGGTGTGAGCCGGCTAAAAGAAAAGGCTTGGGCTAAATAGATTGTTTGACCGTCAGGGATTAGAGTCATTGCATTGGTGGTAACACACATCTTTTCCTTTAATTTACAAAATTTTCTCACGAGTCTGCAAGAGTTCACCCCATCAGGGGCTTTCGGAGCCCATTGAAATGTCTTAAGTTTTAATTAAGTTGGAGTTGTCAGAAGAAAGCTTTTTTGGCACAGAGTCAGGGTCATTAATTACTGCTATCTTTGTTTCTTTTTGTAAAGAGAACTCTGCTGACTTGTTGGGTTCCTTACCCAGCCTACATTTTCTAGCCTGCAGTTCCCACTCACTTCCAAGTGGGACCTGATGAAGCAGTTTACCAGTTACTTCCATCAGTTTTAGGTACAAAGCATTTACACAGTCTTGAGTCTTTAGGTACAAAGCATTTACACAATCTGGAATCTTAAAAACCATTTCTCATAAATGGTTTAGGGAATGGTATTAATAACAAATTCATCCAGTAAGTTATCAAGCAGCTGGATTCTTCCACTGATTCTTGCATTTAAATACAAATATCCTCACATCTTTCACATAGTTATCTATTCAACACACCTATTCATATTCTCACAGCCTGTGACTGCCTTTTAGGCTACGCTAATCAATTTTAAAATTATTTACTTGACCCAATAACACATTATTCTGGCTGGAAACATCCACTTTTCCCTGAAACCTTTTCAATCAGGCAAATATTTTAATTGTTTCTAGATAAAATCAGCTGCCACTATCACTGATAATATTTTGTGATGTAAAAAGTAAAAATTTTAGGTAATTTGTTAGTATGCTTCATGTACCTCTAAAATAAATCCATTACTATTTGGACCAAGTACCTAGATCACTATAAATGTTTTAGCATTAATCATCTTGTTAAAAAATTTCAAATTTCTAAAATATGGCAGAGACCTGAGTGTGTGTTACATATATTTAATTATGTATGTAAAAGTCAGAAAAATCATATTTCTTTTTAAAAAATCATGAATTTAAATTCTGATTTTTCTGGGAAAGTATACTATTTTGAGCTCATTTGCTTTGAAGTATCTCATTACAGTATCTATTTTCTATGTCTCCTGCAGGTTTATACACAATTTCTCATTCTTCCATTTCATGGAAAAATAGCAAAAGCAAAACAGTTTCTTTTAGATTCAGAAGTGAAAATGAAGTTGAATAATTGTCTCAAAAATCAGGAAACTATAAAATAGAGTAAACCTGACCCAAGACAGACTACTTCTGTCTACCAGTATGGCTAGAATTAGTCTTTGAACTTAGTGACATCTATTTTTAGCAGATAAATGAAATGGATGGGAAAAGATTTACAAACCTGGGCAAATCCAATTACGAGAATCACTCATTCTTTCCTAACAAACATACGACACCATTTCAAAATATTTTTTTCCAGTAATCTCCTAGTCACCTGCCATGATTAACAATTACACACGTGTTACCATCAAGTACGTGCCATTTCAGACACAGGGCCTTGAATGCCATAACGGGCACTCATCATTATAATGACTCAACATTATCTGATGATTCTCAGATGAGAAACTTCTGAGCCCAGAATTTGGACTAGACTGCGGCGTTGGAAAAGCCAAACAACCAGTGCTTTCATTCACTCCGGTCCAAAAATGGGTCACTGTGGAAGGGAGAGGAAAATTCCTGGTTTAACTGAATAGCTAATGCTGTCACGGCTCACAGAGAAAACCGTAATTTTTTTGCCATTATTCTCCTCTACTTGTTAAACCTGAAATGATGCGCCTGAAAAAGAAGAGTATAATTTCCCTCTAGCCCTCCATAACGGTTTTACGTGCCATTTCTAATCCACAGCGAAAGATACTCATTTAAAAGCACAGACGAAATAAATCAGATAATCGAATGTAGCTACTCAGTTCGTTTAAGAAAATACAAGTTTTCTAAAAGGAAGTGAAGTTATATTCCTACACAGATTATGTTAAAGCCAAATATTAAAGTGTAACACCTTCTGGGGTCTAACAGTTACAGAATTTGGAGCCTCCGTTCTCCCACCCTTTGTTCGTGTGGCTTTCGTATCACCCCAAAAGATACCAAGAGTATGAGGACTATGTTTTTCCCCTCCAAACCACTTATCCAAGTGCTAGAACAAAGTAAGCACTTAAGGATTGGGTCAACATAAACAAAGATACATATGATATGTCAATCTTAAACTCAGGACTGAAACAACTGGCTAATTATGATTACACAAAAAATATATTACTTACAGATTTATACGATAATTCTGTGACATCTTAAATCATCTTAATAACCCTATGGACCAATTTGCCCACCCCTACTTTATCTGAATTTGTTGCAAATATTTCTGACCATAGTTTGGATATAGCATCTCTGAACCTGGATCTATCCTATATTAAACTTTTTCTGGATTATCTGAGTGAATGTGA